GCTCAATGCGCCGACGTCTAGACGCATGCGTAATGTCTGAAGGTAGACATATTGAACATTTACTATGATTTCTACATGTTGTATGTTTTGTTATTAATAAATTAGTTTTGATTATTCCCCTTTTTACTTTCCTGTGTACAGATATAAGGAAAGTATAGGAATCATGATTTTTTTCGACCTCGAGTTTTCGACTGATTTTTACGTTTTGAGGTCCCCTGAATCCGTTTTGACTATTTTCGCGATGATGTCTGTGTGTGTGTCTGTGTGTCGCATAACTCATGAACCGATATACAGAAAAACACCAAATTTTAAACTTAAGCTTTGTTCCAGCGTCCAATGAGTTGATTAGATTTTGGGCAGAGTCGGAACATCTGGGGGGGGGGTACTTTATAGGTGGTCATTTTTATATTTTATGGAATATATCTGTTATTTACGTTTGGGGAAGAAAATTCTTTAAATAAAAGTTACTTCTCATATTATTATCTATAATTTTTGTTCTATACAAAATTTTCCTAAAATGGTCTGTATTCGAGAAATTTGACAAAATGTAAAAAAATATTTTTTTATAACAATTGTTTGTAATATAATTCTCAATAATTTTTGTCCTATACATAATTTCGTATTCGAGATATTTGAGAAAATGTGTAAATTTTGAAATTTGAAGAAAACTCAAAAACGGATAAAGAAAAAAACATTAAATTTTAAACTTAAGTTTTATTTCGGCCTGACGTGAAATGATTAGATTTTGGACAAAGTCGGAACATCTGGGGGGGTACTTTATGGAAGGCCGTTTTTATATTTTATGGAATATATGTTATTAATGTTTGGAGAAAAAATTTGTTCAAATAAATGTTACTTCTAATATTATTATCTATAATTTTTGTTTTATGTAAAAATTTCCTGAAATGGTCCGTATTCGAGAAATTTGACAAAATGTGCAAAATTCTAATTTTTATGAAAATTTTTGAAATAAAAGTTGTTTGCGAAATCGATCTCTATAATTTTTGTTTATACATGATTTTTCTAAAATGGACCGTAATAGAAAAATTGTAGGAAAAGTGCTAAATTTAATTTTTTTTCAATGAATATCTATAGAAAAATGTTTCGAGGTAGATATGTATGTGGAAAATGTATATATTTAGTTTATCCTCTAAACATTTATAGAGGTGCTGCAATAGGTTGTACAAAATAATCGGAAAAAGCCTGTAATAACTAGATAGGAAAGTCATGTGTTGGACACATCATTTAATGCAGGTAGTAACTACAAAATAACAATAAATCCAGTTCGCATTTATCACGATGTATCGCTGTAGTTGTTCGTAAAATAATTTTTTGCTGCGAACTGGTTTATTTTGGGCAAAAAATTCAAGAGACATTTTTGGTTTAGAATGAAACAGGCTATCGGAAATAAAATTTTAAATGGTAAACAAATAATAAGACAAAAAGTTACGTTGGAACGAAATTTTAGGGGTTGCGTTTTCCACCCCTTACAACCATGGGGTAAACCAAATAAATTACTGGCTAAGTGTCTTTTTGGTAGTAGAAAATGACAGGTTAATTTCAATATTGTAACTTGTTTAATGCTTGTGAAAAAAATTGTTAAACAAATTTTATGTACCCCCTTCAAGGGGCTGTATCTTAACAAGGGATGCTCCAATGAAGTTTCTTTATATGATAGATCCTATCTTTTTTTCGATGAGGAATCACCCCCTTAAATGTTTTACACTTATTTAGTTACACCCTGTATTCCATCGGTAAAAAACACATTCCCGATTATTTTTAAACCAAACCAACATCTTTGTTGGTTTGGTATCTTTGCCTCATTTAAATGAAGATTTTGCTATTTATTCAATTTTTGTCATACATCCCATTGCAACAACAGCGTTGTTATTAAATTATTATACAGTGAAAGAAGTTGGTCTGCTGCTAAGTTTGTTATATGCTTCACACATCGTCTATGTCCATTGCGATACCTATGACTACATTTATTCACGCTTGCGTGTCATTGCCTCCATACATTATCCACAATTTGTGTTTTATTGCAACGAAATCCGAATTTAAATATTTAAGAGTCAACCGTTTGCAGTGTCAATAGCTTACCTTTCAGAAAAATAATAAATTACATGTATTAGTGTCAATCTTCTTAGCTATAGATACCCACTTAATCCAGGCCTATAGCCTATAGCAAACAGCATTTTGAAATAGGTTTTTATGGGATATTCTTATCATCTTTTAGGGTGTGACCGTTCATTTCAGCGGTTATTAAAAGCTTTTTATGTTTCAAATGTTTTTACTGGATTAAATTATTTTTTATGAACCCCGAATAATAATCGATTGTCTATAGTTTTAGCAATTACAGGAATTATAATGCTTTATCACCCCAAGTTTATACCAGTGCCGATAGTGTTGATCTTATAGAAAGATAAATACACATCATGTATTATATATCTATGGCTTCTTATTTAATGACACGAAATCTGTGATAAAATGCAGTATTGTTTTAAAATTCTTTATAGTCCAGTAACTACGTAAATTTACCTGGAAAAATTTGCGAAATTTTTGATATTTTGAGCTACTTTTTCCGAATTTTTATTTTGGCACCTCGTATCTTTGCCGCTGTCGCCGCCATATTGCAATAGATTGTTAAAAAAGAGATTTTTCAAGATATCTCGTTACTCGTTGCTTTTGCAGTAAAAATGGTTATGTAGTAAAATAAACTAGATAATTTTCTCTACCAAATTGGTCCTTATCATTTTGAGCAAGTACGCTGCGTGCAAAGCAATACGAATTTTATTCATTCAGCCTACCGCTCGAATCTAAAAGTTGGATACAAATCTCGTAAGCTAATTGACACCTCGTCTTCAATAGGATTTTGTTCCTCGTACACGGAAGCAACACTTCTTTTAGTTTCGGCTTTGATGCGCCCTCCTTTGGTTCACAGTTATTTTTCGACAATGCGGACTTTAATACTCAAACCCTGGATGGCAGAAACACTTTTCATGTCATGGGAGGCATCCATTGTATAACGCCCGCAAGTGTCATTGCTTCTGATCAGAATATTCTTCGTCTCACAAAAATGCCGTCAGCTCAGTACGTCGAAAATTCTGGTAGCATTGCACTACGAAGTCATGAGAAAATAAATTTTTCCAGTCTACAGAGAATTCGTATTACAGATCTCCGTACCATTTCTTTAGTCGCAAATACAATAATGTAGGCAACTTCAGATCTGCCGGGCTGATTTACCCAATATACCTGGATGAAATAGATTTATGGAAGAAGTGACAGTAAACCATTCATATCAGAAATCTTTTATAGCTTGTTTGCCTTTTATTAATGCACCACCGACTAACTCCGACACGATTTTTAGTGTTTTAGCAACAGCCTCTGAGAAAAGTCATTAAATCAACAAACATGTTTCATCACTTTTGATCAGCCACTGTATTTTAAAGCAAAACAAATTGTTCGAGTGGCATGGAAGCAAAATTGAAAAATGCCGTTATACGATTAGGTGGCTTTCATGGGAGCCATAGGGTATATTATGAATGGTAGTGGATTAGCCAAGCTTGTAAGTACAATTTTTGTACTGAACTCACTTGAAAAGATGTTATCTGGACAAGGATGTGCGAACTCAACACGTAACGAACCAAATAGAGAGAGACATTACATAAGAATCGCATTCTGAGGAACGAAGATAGTCGTCTTAACACGTGCCGTATTGAAATATGAGAGTTCCTATGCAGGTCATGCATACTCTCGTATGGAAATTGATTTATCACCAGACCAACACGCAATTCTATGCGATTTCGACAAGTCGATAATACTTGGAGCAGACCAAGAAGAATGCGTCAAAGAATTAGCTTCACAATTTGAAAATCATCTAGTGACGTGGTCCAACTGCTAAATTATTATAGGTTTCTTACTTTCGCATGGTATCAGTTATGAAACATTTTATTGAGGCCAAAAGAAGCGGAAACTGGGACCTTCATCTTTTATTTTTTTATTATTATTTATTATTATTACAATACGGGCAGAAGACGGTGTCCTATTGTGCCCAGTAAAAAAAGAGCAAATTAATTAACCTAAATCAAGAAATGATTTTAAAATAAATCTAAAGACTAAATACAAGTATAGTTCCAAAATTAAATTCGAAAATGAGCTACATGCAAATGTAAGTTCGAACATTGTTCAGGTGGTAAATCCAAAAATATATCATTATTATGAATAGTGAAAAATATGCCTGTCTATATTGTTTTTGTAAATATTGACACTTTGGGAATCTATAATTTCTTGGGGTAGGTTATTCCAGACTTCGAAGATTCTGTTACTCAGAAAATGTTGTCTCGTTCTTATTAGGTCACCACGCAGACGTCTCTGTTAGAATGTTATAAGATTTCCCATTTCTAACCTTTCCTCGTATGATGCTCTAATGCGGCCAACGGTAAGCCGGGTGGCGCGGCGTTGAACACATTCCAGCATTTGTTGGTCGCTTACATCTATGTTAGATATTTTTATGTGTAGGGAGATACAGAGAAATTATTTACAATATTTTTTAATAAGTAAATGCAAACGCCACCACCAATTCGGTTTTCTCGGTCGCTGCGAAAGATTGTGTATCCGTCGATATCAACTAGTGAGTCAGGAGTTGAGGTATTTAACCAGGTTTCACTGATAAGAATTATGTCAGGTTTAAGAAGTTGAACAGTGCACATAATTTCATTATATTTAGCGTGAATAGATCATAAATTAGTGTATAAGAGAAACCAGTCAACGAGATAGGGTGGAGAAAAGCTATCATTGACGAAATGTAACAATTTTGGGCAGTCCGTCGACATATTTGATGGTTAGGTTATCTTCGCCATTGTTTGTTCGATTTTCTAGTTCCTTACGTAAGTCTAGGAGGTATTGCTGTTGGATCGGGGTCTTATCGTCTATTATAGTAATCCCATTGGTGTTTGCATTTTCCAATAATTTTTTCTTGTTTTTTAAAATAAATTTGGCATCTGAGGACATAATAACTTTCAGCAAATTTTGCCCTATTTTCATGCCAGTGGTCATTTTTTTGTACACTAAATGTGGCCCTTTATATTTAATGGATATGTATAGTTTAAAAGAAAAGACGAATCCTACAAAATACAGGTCTTTTACAGATGGTGGGCGCTTCGCAATTAAACGTTCTGACAAATTTTGGTATGGCACATGGTCAGGCATGGTTATTGAGAAATCATTAATGCGAACGATGAAAACCGTAGGTGGACTAACTCGTGGGCGGGGAGTCCAGGAGAGTGTACTTTCTAGGTGGATTATGAGAATGTCATTCTCGCACAATATTTGTGACGTGGTTGAAAATTTTTCAATATAGAGTTTCCCAACTTCGGAACAACATGTTGAATTGAGAAATTCCCGGATTAATCGTGATAACAATGACGTAAAATTAATGGATTGGCTTTCCCAACATACGCCTTTCCTGCAATGAAAGAACTTCTGTCATAAGTACTGGAGTCATTTTTGCTGTAAAAGCAACTAGTAACAAGATATCTTGAAAAAACTTCTTTTTTTACAATTACAATATGGCGGCGACGGCGGCAAAATTACGAAGTGGCAAAATTAAAAATCGAAAAGAGCAGTTAAAAATACATCAAATCGCCAAATATCAAAACAGCAAATTTTTCTAGTTACACGTAATATTATACAGCACGTAATTACTGGAGTATTAATGCAATACTCAGTTTAGTTACAAACCAAAAGTGTCTTGAAAATACTTATATGCAATAAAAATTTTAAAAGAATCGTTGTTTTCAAGACTTTCTTATTGCATAAAGCAGGAGTTTTATTACATTGCAAAACACAAAAAGGTGCAATTTTTAAGTTGTTTTATTGTCAAAGCTTTTCACATCGTTTTCTATTTCAAATCATATGTTTGTTATCACTAATTCAGTCCACATACCCATAGCATTTTTTGAAGACATATCAGTGCCGTCTGTATATTTGGATCATTTAGATCAAATGCTTTTGACTATTTAATTGATATTGAATGTTATGCTGACACCATAAGTGCTGATGGTATACATACAAACACAACTATAAATATATTTTGTTATAGTTTTTGAGACGTAACTTATCGAAAACAAAAAAAAATCAAAATTGGGTAAAACTTTTAGAAATCTGCAAATACTGGCACATACTAAGGGGTGTAGTTTTTAGAATGAAACTTTTCGATAATATTACGATTCATTTTGTTCAGTTTCATTAGACGTTTTCGGAAACCTATTGAAGATTAAAAATCCAGAATATTGTGTTTATCCGACGGATCACGTGGCTCACTAAACTTAGTGCAGACAGTTTACGAACGAGTTTATCTATATTTGTCATTTTTTTTACGTTTGTAGATTGACTAATAAGTCGCAATGTAGACATCTAGACAAAATTTCATCCTCTTGCATAAACATTTCAATTAATTAAATGTAAAGGAAACACTTCAAAAAAGTTGCGTTATTCTTCTACAAATTCGTAAGGTGCGCATGCGGATCTCTTCTCGCTTAGAGGATCACTAAATATTGATCTCAATCACAAAACTGAATCAATAATCTACTAGTTTCAGATCACGGATAGGGTTAGTAACCTTAGGTAAACGAACAATAGAATTAATAATCTTTCTGATCCCAGTAAGTTTCCGAAAACGCCTATAGTGGGTTAGATCTATGTAGTGAATAATCAAATACCTACATTTCGAATTTGATTATTCGAGACGTTATTTGGTTAATTTTACTTCACGTAGCTCTAATTGTCTTTCCGTAACTGGACACGTTCTTATTGGTGAATTTCATGGAGTGTAGGAATTTATTTTGTATTAATAACACATCAATTATTAATTCTGTGAGTTGATCAAGAAAGACAAATGTAAAACTAGAGGTTTATGTTCATTATAAAATTATTATTTATAAAACCAGAGTGACCTAAATATGTAAACAACTTTGGAGCCACACTGGACTTAAAAGACTATATGAAATATTTAATTCTAATAGAGTCAAATTTGTATAATCGTCAGTTAGGCCACTCAACACATCTTAATTCCCTCAGTCGGCCAAAACAGTTTCAAAGGCCGTTGGTTCAAACGAAATCAAGTCAAAGCTTGTTCTGAAACTGCCTTGAAATACTTAAGATTTGGTAACTCATTATAAGGTAAAACTAGGATGGGTACCAGGACCTAAAAGTGTTCAAGGAAATGAAAAGGTTGATAAACTCGCTAAAAAGGGATCAGAACTACCATTCACATGACCCAAAGCAAAACTTTTTATTTGACAAATAGAGAACGAGTAGTCAATCACTAACACTAACGTCATCTGCAACAGATAAGAGGATATGGAATCAGTAAGCTCATGCTGAGACCAAACCCACGTATGATTGCTGAAAAACGACAACTCACAAGGTTCCAGATATCCACCATTGTGGGATTACTAACGGGACACTGCTTGATGAAACACCTTCATAATAGAATTACACATGCAAGAAGAGAAAACATCATACCACGTTATCAGAACTATTCAAAGAGTACCTGAATACGGTGAAAGCAGGGGATTACAATAGACCCAAGAGGTCGCAGTGTTCTGGGTTATATCTAACCTTATCTGCTTATAACCGGCGAAAATAAAATTATTGTTTCCATCAGATTTTTTTATTAAAAGAACTCTTGGACTAATATATCTAATCTTTCCTCGAAGAGACTAAGCATTATTTACCAAAACATATAATCAGTTTGAAGAGCAATACAACTTTTTAATATTTTTCTAAGGTGGTTTCGATTAGTTTAATTAAGCAATTATAACGCCACCTACTCTTCTTTGAAATTCTCCAATAAAACTCAACGTTATACTGTGCACCACACGCTATCATATCTTGCGCCAAGTTTTCATAATTTTTTTTCTAATTGAATCTGTTTGTGTATAGGAGGAAACGTTTGAGGAGATGCTGAACAGGCAAAAGGCTGAATTAAACGCTTTAATGGAAGCTCACAGAAAGCAACAGTTAGAATACATGGGTAAATATAAAAGGCAGAAAGACAAAGAAAATAGATGAGTTTTTATTTTCTTTTGTTTTTGTTACAGAGTTTCATCGAAAACTAACTGAAGGTATATATTTTTATTTTTTTTATTTTTTTATGTTTTTTTCCTGTATTTTTTTGTATTTCTGAAGTTGAACAAAGATTTTGATGTTAATTTTGTTGACATTTTATGAAAATGTTTTCATTGACAGCAGCACAAGCTCATACATTCTGTCCTTTTGGCAATATTTTCGGTAAACATCGAAGCTAGTTAAAAATAAAGTTTCACTAAACACATTTTTCAATAAAAATCGCGCAAACGCAAACCCTAACGCAAAGTATATTACTAATATTAAAATTATTCTAAAGTCGGCCACAGAAAAAATCACGTATGCTGGAGCGTATATAGTTTTTTACAGTTTGGATTTAATCAGTCGTGGCCTTAGATAAAAGAGACCAGAGATATAACATACACCGGTGTTTAACCTGCGCAAATGTTGCCAATTTCGAAAGAAAGGTTAACGGAGTGGGGGAACTGGGCGGCGACCCGAACTCTGTGGCAGGGACCGGACTTTGTTTATTAGCATCATAATGAACTATTAGATTTATTTAAAAGGCGTTTAATCGAATTTTGTATTAATGAAATAAAATTAACGTGATTTTTTAATATCAAACAGATGCCACGACATTTTATGTAAAGAGAAGACCTTTTATAGAATATTTCGTTAGCGTTTATTTACTACGGACTTTTCTGCAAGAGATTACAGTAAAATGTTAAAATAGAATATATTGTTAATAGAGCAAAAAATGTTACTCATTGTCTACAAGTATTACAAGAATAGCATGTGCGCAGGCGAATACTGCAAATCTAACCTTATGAGTTGAACATTATATTTTTTCTACGGCTATTACATAATAATAAAAATTAGTCAAAATGAGAAAATGCTGTTTTGTATTATAACCTCAGAAAAAGGTATATTAAGGCTTCTTTCTTTAGGAATATTAATTAATATAAAGGATGAGTCACATAAAATTCTAGAAATGCATGTCTGAAACCAGATAACATTTTAAAATTTAAATCTATTAAAAGTCATTTGGTCGCTAGGGATGAGTGATTATCGAAATAAATTATCGATCATTGAAAATAATCGATTATTTTCGATCAATCGATTATTTTCAAACAATATATTTTTTTGTCATTTCCTTTAAAATCGACTACTTGATTATCTTTGAAAAATCAAAAATAATCAATTAATTAAAAAGTCAATTAACCGATAAATAAGTGTTTAGAAAATATAATAAAAAAAGAATTATCGTTTATTTTAAATAATCGTTTATTTTAAATAATCGTTTATTTTAAATAATCGTTTATTTTAAATAATTATTTATTTTAAATAATCGATTATTTTCAAATAAACCATTTTTTTTCGTCCGTGGAAACAGATTATTCGATAATTTTTAAAAAATCGAAAATAATCGATTAATCGAAAATATTCGATTAATTAAAAAGTCGATTAACTGATAAATCAATTTAAAAAAAAAAGAATTATCGAATATTTTAAATAATCGATTATTTTTCATCGATCGATTATTATCAATAATCTATTTTATTGCATTTTCTTTAAAATCGATAATTCGATTATCTTTGAAATACCGAAAATAATCGATAATTCCAAAATAATCGCCTAATCGAAAATAACCAATTAATTAAGAAGCCGATTCTATGATAAATCGATTTTCCAAAAAATAAAACGAATTATCGAGAATTTTCTAATAATCCTTTTTTAATATTTCCTTTAAAATTGATTATTCAATTATCGAAAATAATCGATTATTAAAAAGCTGATTAACCAATAAATCGATAATTTTAAAAAAATAAGCAAAATATCGGTTATATAAAATAACCGGTTATATTCAATCGATTATTTTCATATAATCAAATAATGAAAAAATCGATTAATACATTATTTTAAGAAAACAAAAATAATTTATTAAAAACAGCGGATAAATCGGTTTTCATAAAAAAAATATCAGAATTATCGATAAATCGATTATTTTTGTAACCCCTATCGGTCGCTTGCCTTTATCCGAGCATTTAGCTCCAAAATTTAGAGATTCGAATTTTTTGATCCCGTTATCTTTGAAACCGCATTCGATTGTATAATAAATAATAAATATTGCTAAATTTTGGATTTTTTTAGTAAACGAAAATTTTGTTCGAGTTGTTTAGGGGTTTGTAATGTAACATTTTATTAATGTGACCAACTCCCGTAACTTTAGTATTTTTTTTGCTTATACTAGATCATATGGTGCGTTTTATTTTGTTTTAAGACTGAAGATTCAAATGTCACTTTTCGATTTGACCGCAAATAAGATGAACCTTGAAATTTTAAGTAGGTCATCCTGTATTTAATCTAATATTCTTATAAAAATACCTTATAAAAATTTAGCTAGCAACTAT